AAAAAACTAAAAAAAAAGTGTTTTACTAAAAAAAAAAAAGAACTAATATCGAAGTATTTAAATGACTGAATTTATTTTTTAAACATATGTTGTATTTTTTCCTGAAAAAAAATTATGTTCCAAAATGTTAAAAAAATCCCTAATAAAAGTACCCCAATCTGAGCTGACTTCGAGTTTCAATGTAAAGAATACCCAGCATTGCTGAGTAAAAAACGTATTTTTTTTTTCTCTGAAATTGCAGTTGACGGCGTTGCTCCTGCTGAGCCTGTTGGCTTTAGGCTTTGGCGAGGAGGTGCAGCCAGAAACGGTCAAGGAGGACAAAAAAGCTTCCGTCGCCGAAGAGGAGCCAAAGAACGAGGCGACCTCGACAGCCGAAAAGAAACAAGACAAACGCGGCCTGTTCGGTTACGAGGGTGACTTTGGCCACGAGAGCTTCGGGGGACACGACTTCGGGGGCCACGAGAGCTTCAGTGGACACGATTTTGGGCACTACGAGCACGAGCACCACGAGCACGCCAAAATCAAGGAGATCAAGATCGAGAAGGAAGTGAAAGTACCGTACATTGTTGAGAAAAAAGTACCCGTGCCGGTGGAGAAGATCGAGCATTACCCGGTTAAAGTAATTTGAAAATGTTACGTTGAGGATTTTTTTTCCGTATCCCCGTTGAAAGTACTGCTTTTTTCTGGTGTCTGGGGATCAAAGGAGAGTTTTCCCAGAATCGTTTACTACTCTTTTCGATTGACAGTGAATTTTTAGTATATTTTGAATTTCAGCAGTTTGAAAGTAAATCTGTGCTCCAAATCGTATTTATTCGTAAATTGAGTCCTTGGCTCGGTTTGAATAAATTTGGGAACGAATGGTATCTTTTTGGATTAAAGTGTCCTACCAATTACATTTAATGAGCAGTAAACGCTATTTTTACCTGGGAGATTGTGTTGAATTTTTTGCTTTAGGGTTGAGTAAAAAGATCATTGTATTTTCAACGGAGGAAGGAAAAAAATCGTGTATTCTTCGAGTCAGACGAACAGTGTTATATTAACAAATCGTCTTTAAAAGGTGCATGTGCCCCAACCGTACCCCGTTGAAAAAGTGAAGCACTTCCCAGTAAAGGTAAGTCTTATTGCATTAATATATTTTAATACTTTTTGAATAGTGTTTTATATCTAAAACTTGGTTAAATGGAATGACATCATTAAATGAAAGTTTTCATATAATTTGAGATATAGTAGGAGTTTGTTTTATAAACATCGACTTCCAATCAGTTAAAAAAATTATTTAAGTATCCTTGAGACTTATTTCAAATAAAACCGGAATGAGTTAATGTATTAGTTAACAATACTTTTAATATCACTGAATTCGAAGCTTTAGAGTAAAAAATGTGATTCGCTGTCATTGAAAAGTTTTAGAATTAATTTTAGTTTACAGTCAATTTACTTATTATTTTTTAATAAATTTTGATTAATTAATTAGTATTATCTCAAATTAAATAACTTTCAGTGAAGTTATTAAAATTAATGACATTTAAAAGTAAACGTTGGAAATAAATCATTTCACAGAGCTACATTTATTTTTCGTGGATATTGAAAATTTTCAATTTAGAACTTTAACAGTTGAAGTCGCAAATTTTAACAAAATTCAATTTAACTCAAATCATGTAAGTAAAAGATGTTAAATACTGCAAAATGAATACAAAATTTTTATAATGCAACAAAATAATTTTAAAACAAGTACATACATGACAATTTATACTTTAAAATGTAAATCACTAATGAATCGTCACATATTTTTTGTAATTAACAACATACTAATTTAAAAGCATTACTTACCAAATAACTACCGCTTATCTACTATAAAAATCACGAAGTAGCATGTAAGACGTGTCTGTAAGAATTAGAGAATAATTTTCATCTAAAACATATATAAATTAGAATAAAAATTTGAATTGAATTTTTATTTATGTTTTGCACACAGAAGAATAAATAACGTCTTATTTAATTTTAGAATTTGTTTTTTAATTAAAATAAAATATTGTAAGAAACGTTCTCACTTAAAAAATATCTGATCAGTTTTGGTGGCAACGATACAATATCATAGTATGAAGAAATGTGTAGAAAATTAAAAAACTGTTATACAACGGCAGTTTACTCGCTGAACACAAAAGTAACTGAGATAGTATAAAATTATTTTTTACTGTATGAACTTATCCTATGTGACATTAAATGGCCGATGGGATTGTTTAATAATTTGTTAAAAAATTAATTAAAGGTTATTTTAAATTATGCCTAAGAAATTTTCTAAAATTTAAAACGTTACTATTTTAATTCATATTTTTTGAAAGTGGCGAAATAAGGCAAATCTATGCCAAAT